TGCAGAATACTTAGCGGTCAATGCTTCTACAGCTGCTCTGTTGCGTGAATCACAAACAAAGCACTGGCAGGAGTTCTGCAACTCATTAAATGAGAAGACCAACCTAAGATCTGTCTGGGGTAAAATAGACTCAATGCTTGGTAAAAAATCTAACTCTTCCATTCCAACTCTTTGTTACAGGGATTCCACAGAATACAGCAATGAAGGAAAAGCCAATTTGTTAGCCAAGTGTTATGCTGACGGCAGTGCTGATACCAACCATACCAAAGAATTTCTAAAGAACAAGAAGACCTTCTACACCAACCACATTCCAATTCATCATTCGCCCTTAGAGGATGAACGGGATCTTAACGCTCCCTTCACCCTCGACGAGCTGAAGAAAGCACTGTATAGTAAGAAAGACAGCGCTACTGGTGAAGATAATATCAAGTACAGCATGTTAAAGGAGTTACCAATGGAAGCTTCTACAGTTCTACTAGAATTATTCAACAAATCATGGTATAATGGTACAATTCCGGAAAGTTGGAAAACGGCAATGGTCATTCCTCTACCAAAACCGCAGAAAGATAAAAGTCTATGCAGTTCATACAGGCCTATTTCTCTGACCTCGACTCTATGTAAAACATTTGAGACGATGGTCAATAATAGACTTAGATACCACTGTGAACTAAATGGTCTTATCGATCCCAACCAAAGCGGCTACAGAGAGAAACGGTCAACAATGGATCAAATCGTTCGACTTCAACACGACATGGCCGCCCAACTCGGAAAGAAGAACTACTTCAGTGCAGTATTCCTGGATCTGTCCAAGGCCTTTGACTTAGTCTGGGTTGATGGTTTGCTTTTTAAACTTAATAAACTTGGCATTCGGGGTCGCATGTTCAGGTGGATCCAAGACTTCTTAAGGGATCGCCAGATACAAGTGAACGTCGCCAATTCTCTCAGCGAGAAGCACTCGTTGGAGAATGGCACCCCGCAAGGCTCTGTTATTAGCCCAACCCTCTCAGCAT